TTTTTTTAGATTGAGCAACTAAAAATACAACTTTTTCGTCGCTTGTGTTTTTTTGCAATTTTGGTCTTCAAACGCTCCAATAACACGGTATAATATTTGATGGATGTAGGTTACTAAGTGGTAGGAGATCATAATGAAAAGAGAAATGAAAATGTCTATGTTTTTTATCACTTTTATTTGTAACTAACGTTACTGCAGTTTCGGTACTACATTTTGCTACAGGGCTGAAGGTTCCATCGTAGTTTTCACCCTTCCTTTGTGAATAACCTTTGATAACCAATCTGGCCTTGAATTCATCTACAGAACCATCTACATTCAGCTTCCTTCTGTTAACCCATTCACATGGAATTTCTTTCCTACTAGGTGGCAGTTCTTCCAAAATCCAAGTTCGCTTTTCATTTAGGGATTCAATTTCATTTTCCATTGCTCGAATCAAATGATCTTTCTCAGGACAAGACTCTTCGTAAGTGAGTGGCTCTTTAGATTCGGTTATTTCACTTGCAACAATCATCGCATAATCATCGAAACGGGGTGGCTTTCTGATTTCATGTCTATCCATTCCAGGAAGGTTAATAGGTCACTAGGAGACATCTCCTTCATTTTGGCAGGTGTAGGCTAAGACTCGCCGAACACACACTCGCTTTGGCAACCTTGTGGTGTCTCACGGTGGCCTCCGCGAAGGTTTTGGAAGGTGCAGCAATATTACTGTCGTTGCGCGGCTTCTTCAACCTTCTTGGGGTTCCCTACGTGGAGATGCACAAATGAGGGAGCTTTCCTGCAGGGACAGCCGGTTCCTTGCCTTTATTCAAGGCGGAGCTCCTGGCTCCAGCTGCAGGAAGTGCTCTTGCTGTTGGAGGTGGAGTGATGGAGAAGAAGGGACACTTATAGTTGCTGCCACTCCTGCCTCCTTAGCTCTCTTTGTCCTTTTGGCCTCGGTGCCGCAAATGTGCTAACACCTTGGCCTTTGTATCACATCACGAGGTGATCTGCTATGTCCAGCCTCATTCCAAGCGGAGGGCATTTCTGTTCATCCTCAGCCACCGCCTTAGATTGAGGTGATCACTTCTGTCCAGCCTCGAGATTGGTTTTTGTTGCTTCTGTTTTTGTGTTTTTTTTTCATTCATGCGTATTCCCACGAGTAGCAAGGAAAGAGTTGGTCACCTCTGGCCCCGCATTACCAGAGGGCTGATTATAACGAAGTTCCGCCCAGTTCCCCAAGGGGATCGTTCGTAACCACATATCACCCAGCAGCCATTCAGCTGCCGGCACGATTCCTTACGCTTTAGCTTGGGTAGGCTAGTTCACGGTGGCATGTTTTGCAAAGGCTCTTGGAGAGGTTTAGTTCCCCTCAACCCACTTATTTCTGCCACTGACCAGGAGTCCGGTGATCCCGTCCGTAAGGCCACATTGGTTTCCCGGACAGGGCCTCCAGTCCCCTGGTCGTTCCCCTATACGGCACCTGAGGACGCGCCCAACATGACAGAAATGGTCAAAGAGCTTTGATATCACAAATTCAAATTTGAATGAATGAGTGAATGTAAAATGTTCCTCTACTTGATGTTCTCATTTCTTTTCCAGCTCACAGATTATGTGACGTCGCTTCGAAGAGGAGAATGAAGTGATCACGATGATGAGTACTTCAAGAGAAAACAACAGACGTTTAATGAAATATTTATTTCCATTTCAACTAAACACAATACACTTTTAGTAATAGTTATATGGAGGTTCCATATAACTATCAAAGATCACCTTCACATCTCTGAATTGTCTTGGATATTCTCTCACCTCCAGAGTGTCATTGAAGTTGAGATAGAGAAGATTTTCACTGTTTGTTGTGGGCCAGGTAAAATTATTCAGAAGAGGATCTTTTTCCGGTGTTGGATTTCTGAAATGAAAATATTTATGATCATTGCATGAAATTCTACAAAAAACTGATGTGAATATATAAATTTGACAAATACATTTATTCATATATCGAAGTTTGAATACCTCTTGAATGAAATTCTGATATAGAAGAATAATGTGGAATCCAAGGCACACATGCCAAACAAACAAATAACACATGCTATTTTTTTTCATTCATGCGTATTCCCACGAGTAGCAAGGAAAGAGTTGGTCACCTCTGGCCCCGCATTACCAGAGGGCTGATTATAACGAAGTTCCGCCCAGTTCCCCAAGGGGATCGTTCGTAACCACATATCACCCAGCAGCCATTCAGCTGCCGGCACGATTCCTTACGCTTTAGCTTGGTTAGGCTAGTTCACGGTGGCATGTTTTGCAAAGGCTTTTGGAGAGGTTTAGTTCCCCTCAACCCACTTATTTCTGCCACTGACCAGGAGTCCGGTGATCCCGTCCGTAAGGCCACATTGATTTCCCGGACAGGGCCTCCAGTCCCCTGGTCGTTCCCCTATACGGCACCTGAGGACGCGCCCAACATGACAGAAATGGTCAAAGAGCTTTGATATCACAAATTCAAATTTGAATGAATGAGTGAATGTAAAATGTTCCTCTACTTGATGTTCTCATTTCTTTTCCAGCTCACAGATTATGTGACGTCGCTTCGAAGAGGAGAATGAAGTGATCACGATGATGAGTACTTCAAGAGAAAACAACAGACGTTTAATGAAATATTTATTTCCATTTCAACTAAACACAATACACTTTTAGTAATAGTTATATGGAGGTTCCATATAACTATCAAAGATCACCTTCACATCTCTGAATTGTCTTGGATATTCTCTCACCTCCAGAGTGTCATTGAAGTTGAGATAGAGAAGATTTTCACTGTTTGTTGTGGGCCAGGTAAAATTATTCAGAAGAGGATCTTTTTCCGGTGTTGGATTTCTGAAATGAAAATATTTATGATCATTGCATGAAATTCTACAAAAAACTGATGTGAATATATAAATTTGACAAATACATTTATTCATATATCGAAGTTTGAATACCTCTTGAATGAAATTCTGATATAGAAGAATAATGTGGAATCCAAGGCACACATGCCAAACAAACAAATAACACATGCTTTTCTATGATGCAAATGCTAATGATGGATCCAAAAGTTACATTATCATTTTGGAATATGACCGATAAATTCACATAGGAATCTCTATATTGAATTCAGGTCATTTTTTGTGGAAGAAATCTGTTTTTCATCAACCATTTTTGGATATTTTCACCTTATAGAACACCTAATATTACATCGAATGTTTCTAGGGTCAATCAAAATTATTGAACGGAAATATAACGGATCAGCGGAAAACCTGCAGAATTAATTCACTATTTTCAATGCAGAATTTGGCCTTCAAGGGTTGAATTGATTTTTCAACTCTTTTGTGATAATTTAATACGACAAACTGATAAATAGTACATTTCTTTGTGACAAATGCTTCTTGAATTCGCGTAGTCAATCATCGAAATGCACCAAAAAAGTTGCCACTCCTACATCTGCATGGAGTCCTCCACCATTTTCAATTTTTTGTTACATCGTGGAAAAAAATATCCAGGAAAAATCGATGGAGTAGTTCATATTTTCTAGTTTATCTCCTATGAAGTTATAGATATATTTCAAGTACAACAAATGATACAGATATTTTAATTTTTAGTACTCACAGATACTTTACAAAGTTTGTCCACATTTTCACGAACCGGTGAAGTGTCAACCCATCTTCTTCTGGAAATTTGCTCAGATCAGAATTAGAGCCATCGTCCCACATATAATGTAAATCTTCAGCATGAGCCACTCTTCCAGCACCTTTAAAACATAATTTTCAACTTGCTAGTGATTACTTCCATTGAAGGAAATATAGAATCAAACAAATTCTAACCAACATGTAGGAATATATTATCACTTTTTCGACCAAACAATATTTGCACCCAAACTTGACTACTCATGGCTCCTTAGGGTACAGAAGAGTCAGTTCTCTTTGTCGATCACTGTTTGATTATTGGAAACAGTCCCTTATCAGCACTTTCTCGGAAATTTCCAAAGGACGACTATATATCATTGAAATCATTCTTATAACTAGATATTACAATTTGAGCTGAACAAAATTATGAAATTATGAAACAACAACAAAAATAAATTGTGGCGCTCCGGGGCGACTGATTCCAGTAGCGCATTTGCTTCTTCAGCTGCAGGAAAACCCGAAAAAACCTGCAGCACCACATCATCTGAAGATCTTGATCTACCAATATCCTCTCTCACAGAATAGAATGTAAGGTAACTTCAGAGGCTCCAATAAAGTCAAGATATCGCCAGAACACTTACTGACACGACTATCGTCAATCTCAAACCAGTCCGTTTCGTCTTTGACCAATGCGTAATAATGACCAGTTTCAACGCCAGAACCACAGTGAACAATGACTGCATGAAGATTATTATAGTGGTCCGCTAGATTGAAGTCTTCGTCTATTTCGAACCTTCGTAAGTGTTTGGTGCTTCCGTCAGAGGTTGAGTCATGTTTGAAGATCATCAGTCTTATCATTAGATTGACTGGTGCCTCAGCTATACTTGCTGCTATACTTGTTTGAACATGTACTACAAAGTGAACTAGTGAGGATTTTTCCAGCAAAAGATCTACAGCACGTGATATACTGTACGAAATCATTCAATCCAGAGCGGTCAGGAGTATTGATTCTGCTATTTTTCTGCTCACGAAGAGTATTCAACAGGAACCCTGAGAATTCGGAAAAATTCTCTTGCTGTCTCAAGGAGTATCTAGTGGACTTCACAGACTCTAGAAAATCGGTTGGTGCAGCTGCATGAACAGGTGTATGAGTTTGGTGAATAAGTAGAAAACATATTCTTGTTCTCGTTCATCGTTAAAACGCCGTTCTTGAAATGCCATTCATGTAGCAAGTTTTTCCTTAATTATCTGGTCCAATATTATAGATCGCGAAGGGAATGTTTGTTTACATTTTCTACAAAGTAAGAGAATTGCTATGGCTACGATCAAATTTTTTGTGGATGATTTCACGAACAGTCATTGTGATGGATGGAGCAGATTTGTCTTTTACAGTAACAGGTTTATTTTTCGAGTGTATCATGGAGGTTATTTGCGATACTGATTTTCAACGACAGCATAAGTTATTTAGATTCGAAGCCACATCAAATTTGCGACTATTTTGTAATCATAAGCACATCCTAGGTATGTATCTATAAAGTTTTTGCTCATAAAAATTTATATTCCGGATTATTTTTATTGGAAGAAGAGGAGATCATACTGTTATCACAGATGACCGTCTCCCTCGGCCACTCTTCACGTTTCTTCTCCAAATTTTTCTCTTAATAGGTGAAATGAAAAGACACTGTCAATTCTAGATATTCAGAATTCGTTCTTGAACAAACGAGCCTCTTTGTAGACTGACACGTCTCCCAAATATTGGTTGGTGGCAGTGGAGAAAATGAGAAATGATATTTATATAGTTCTTGAGAACACTTTCATTGAAATTTACCTGGAATGATATCCGTTGGACCTTGTCCCAATTCGCCGTAGTACGAAAATTGGTATAAATAAACTGGCACCTCAGCGGCTATAAGTTCCGCCTGTTTACAAATTGGAGTTATCATTATGTTATCACTGTTCCACTGAAAAACAGAAATGAATTCTTTCAGAATGTGTTAGTGTACGAATTAATTAACTTAATGGTTGAGACCACTAGTAGTGCTTCAACAATTTTATACCGTTTGCAAAAGGAAAGAACATCAATAACCTAGGAACTCTTTTACAACAGCAAATAAGACTCTTTGAAAATTGGTCCAAACACACGGGTCTCAGATTCTCGCCAGAAAAAACCAAATGCCTATTATTTTCAAAAAAACCATGTGAAACAATCCCAGCTAATAAACTGAACAATGTAACTTTGACTTCTGTTACCACCATAAGATTTTTGGGAATGATATTTCACCAAACACTGATTTGAAAGATTCATATTAAGCACCTAGTTTTATCATGCCAAAACGGTTTAAACTTACTTGAACACTTAGCTGGTAGGGGTGGAAGGCTCAACTTTACTTCTACTTTACGCACCACTGATACGTTCAAATATAGACTACGGAAGTATTGCTTATGACTCAGCCAAGAACACTACGTTGAAGCTCCTGGACACAATACATAATTCTGCCATACGTATCATTTTAGGAGCATACAGAACGAGTCCAGTTGAAAGTTTATATTGCGAAATTGGGGAACCGTCATTGAGTCATCGCAGAATGCAGTTGAGTCTATCGTATGCATCAGCAGTTGCATCACATGAAAACCATCCAACTTACAAGAACACGATAAGAAATCGGTTTCTTACCACATATAACCAACCAAGAACTGACCCCCCCTATTACGAAAGGATCAGACGATATCTTGACTCAATCCAAATCCAGAAATTTCCTTCTATATATCCTACAAATATCAGTACTCCACCACCATGGCTGATAAAACCACCCATATTCAACCACCAACTATTCCATTTCAATAAATATGCCACCAATACTAACATCATTATCCAGAACTTCAGGCATCGATCATCAAGTATAAGAGCTACAAAGAAATGTACACAGATTCCTCAAAAACTGATGTAGGAGTAGGTGCTGCAGTAGTAATGGATCGAACGAATTCAACTTTCAAACTTCCGAAAACAGTAACAATCCTCACAGGGGACTGTGAGACATCCAATCGGTAAAATTATCAAAAGAGAACTATATAATTTGCAAACTTTGAATAAGCAAGTTGTCCTACTTTGGGTCCCCTCCCATATAGGAATAAGAGGCATCGAAACAGCCGACCGAAGCGCACGTGAGGCAATAATAAATCCGAACCGGAAAGCCTCACAGCTCACTCCCTACATAGATTTGAAGTCATATATAAAAAAAATGCTGAGGGACATCTGGAACAGGAATTGGCAAAATACACAATCCAAACTTAAAGAAATCAAAACAGCGGTAGGACCGTGGGATAATGGAAATCTGCCGAGAAGAGAACAAGTGATCATGACTCGACTCAAGGCTTACCCATGAATACCTGATATCTCGAGAAGAGGAACCACAGTGTCAAATTTGTGAAATTCCACTAACAGTAAAACACATCATAAAGAAATGTCCGATGTTCCAAATAGGAAGAGACAATTACAATATACCTCAAGATTTGAAAGAAGATCTAGGACGACATCAAGTGAAAAATATTATTTGCTTTTCAACTGCTCTCAACCTTGATGCAGATGATTGTAAATAAAAAAAAATATATTTCGAGCATAGTATTATTGAAAAGTTTAGTACTCGTTGCAATCAATTTTGTAGTGAGTGAGAGTACAGAGAGAGCTGATATATCAATCAATCAATCAATCAATCAAATATACTTTATTGTCTGAAGAACTACATCTTGTAGACAAAGTCATAAATAATAAGATACAAAAATCTACATAAAAAAACATAAACAGTTTAAACAAAATACAATAAACATAAGCTAAAAATGTGAAATACACTGAGATATTCAGCTGGAAATAAGACAGAAATAAAAGTTAAGATTCAAGTGAATCGTCAAGATACTCCTGAACTGAATAATAGGCCCTATCAACAAATAGCATTTTAACTGCTTTTTTGAATTTGTTAAGCACTATAATTTCTTTAATTCGGGCTGGTAAGTGGTTAAACAGTTTGATCCCGTTGAATATAATTGAATCCCTAACAAGGGAGCTCGCAGGAATAGGCAGATCTATGTTACTATTGTGGCTACGAGCATTATATGAGGAAGGGGGAGATGCACAAGAATAATTTTTTTTATCAAGCAAATTGATTCCAAGATAAACAGGGCAGCTATTGTTAAAATACCGTGAGCTATGAAAAGAGTCTTGCATGGATCCCTGGGAGCTGCTTTGCACATATATCGGAAAGCCCTTCTTTGGAGCACAAAAATCATTTGAAATAAATCTCTAGAACAGACACCCTAGAAGGCAATTCCATATTTAATATGGGGATCTATCAGAGCGAAATAAGCTGTTCTTGAATGGGAGTAGCCTAGTTATCTAGAAATCACTCTTAGTGCATAGCAACCTGAGGCAAGCTTCTTGCTTAAGTTTATTGTGTGATTTTTAAATTTCAGTTCATCATCAATGTTCAACCCTAGACATTTATAATTATGTACCCTGTCTAAGATTTTGTCACCAAGGCAGATCTCAGGTAAGTTGCAGTGGAAGGTAAGTATGCTAGTTTCATTGATATTGAATGATAACTTATTGCAGTCGCACCATTCTTTGATTTTGTTGATGTCAGCTGAGATGCAAAAACATAAAATTCTGCTTTTCACTAGTTTTTCTATGAGTTTAGCAAGGGTAGGAATAAGTAATATATAGGCCGGAAGTTGGGTCTACCCTTATACAAAGGGATTATCAGAGATGTCTTCAGAAACGATGGGAACTCGCCAGATTCAAAAGACTGATTTATGAGTTGTGATAAAATCACTAAGGTTGAATAAGGTAGATTTTCAAAAATTTTAACAGAAATATCGTCTATACCTTTGCTATTCTTGTTTTTGATATTTTTGATAACTGCTATTATTTCCTCGGGATTTGTTTCATAGAGAGAGAAACTTTCTGATATGTCAATATTGGGAAGAAAATTTAAGGGATTAACAGTAGATGATATATTTTCAGTGAGTTTGTCCGCTATGGTGCAATAGAAGTTATTTAACAAATTGGGATCCAAGCCTACTTCGGATGAATGTTTATTGGACTTTCCTCTGAGATCGTTGATAATGGACCAGCTTTCCTTAGATTTATTTCCTGCTATATTTAGTCTATGTTTGTAGTAGATCTGCTTAGCATGCTTCAAAGTAACTCTGTAATTTATGATTAACTATAACTATCAATACATCTAGGTCCTAGGTTTTGATGACAAACTTCAATGGAGGACACATATCGACACCTTATGTAATAAATTCAGAAAATTCCGTTATTCTCCTAGGTTTCTTTCTCACCAATGTGGTCAAAGTATTAACTGTCTATTATGCAAACTTCAATTCGCATCTTAACTGGAGCACATCCTATACCGTGTCTCGTGTGTTTTGTATACAAACGTATGCTATTAGAATTATTGCTGAGTTGGGCTATAGTGATTCTTGTAGACAAACTTTTCATAATTTGAAAATATTAATGCTAGCAGGACTATACATAATGGAAGCTTGCACATATATCTATCGAAATAGAAACACATTAGCTGCTAACAGAGCCTATCATGATCACTCTACCCGGATTGCCCACCATTATCTATTTAGTATAGTTTCAATAAATTGATGGATGTAGCCGTTAGTACGTGGTAGGAGATCATAATGAAAAGAGAAATGAAAATGTCTATGTTTCTAACCACTTTTATTTGTAACTAACGTTACTGCAGTTTCGTCCTATATGGACATTCTCAAACTTATACAATAAACTCCAGTATACAATAAACTGCAGTTTATTGTATAAGTTTGAGAATGTCCATATAGGACGAAACTGCAGTAACGTTAGTTACAAATAAAAGTGGTAAAAAACATAAAAAAAATGTAATTTCTCTTTTCATTGGTATAGTTCCATTTCTTTTTAATATTGTTCATTGACGTTTTTCTCTTTTTCATTTTTACTTCTGCTCCTGTGGTTATACAAATCAATCTGAGTAAATAAAGAGATTATTATTATTATTATTATTACTGGAGTAAGTGAATGTGGTGTTCATCTTCATGTCGAAGGAGAGTATTATACAGTTTTGGAAAAAAATAGTAGGTTGAACACTCGCTGGGTATGACTTTCTCGTCTCTTTTGTCTTTGTCTCATAATAATTATTTTTGTTTCAAAATATCCATATAAGATACTGGTGTGCATATGGTTCCAGGGTATGACTTTTCTGTATCAAATTGTCCTTGCATTTTGGAGTGCCTGAGCAATATTCACCACATTCTCAAACATTTCAGTCTACACTGTGATCTGAAAGAGTGACTTTTTGTCAAGGACAACACACAAGGACTACAGAAAAGTTCTTGGGGATTGAGGTCTTAGAGCGGTGCCTATAGTAGCGATTCACGTTGGATTTGACTCGTTGAAGCTCAAATTTATTTGGAAAGTCAGGAAGTGTATTCCACATAAACGCAGTTATCCAAATGGTAGAGTTTGGAGTGAAGTTTGAGGTATATCGAGTTGAACTTCGAAACGATGAGCACCCACAATACGTCGCGTATTTTCAATATGTACCACTCTTAGTGGAATCGAATGAGTCTTTTGAACACCTCCCGTGAAAGTATCTATAAAAGAAAGACAAATATCCACTCTTCCTTCGATGTTCCAGTTTATCAAAGTTGCAAGTGATGATCGTGTCTCCAATCAGATGAACGGCTCTTTTCTGGATAGAATCTAGCAGCTTCAGAGTATGCTAGAAGGCAGAGCTCCATGCATGTAAACAGTACTTCAAAGAAGATCTGATCTGAGCTCTATAAAGCATTAAAAATGCTGAGCTAGTAAAGAACAGTGTTTCAAGCTTTTGAGAAGCAGTCTTTGCAGTTGCAGGGACATGATTGTGCCAGGACATATTGGTCTTAAAGATCCTCCCAGCGGATCTGTAATGCCAAACTTTGCGCATCTTGGTTTTTTCCACAACACTGTAATGAGTTTGTGGTCAGAAGATTCCAATGGAGACCTTAGGGTGACTGTGTAAATTTCTGGATTGATTGCTAGGTATAGATCCAGAAGATTAGCATATTCTTCTTCACGATCAGGAATCGTGGTTGGCTCAATTATAATCTGGCTAAGTCCGCTGCTTATTGCAGAAGCCTCAGCTTTGCGATCTTGTTCGTCGTTGATATTTGAAAACTAGAGCTATTCGATATTGTGGACACTGAAGTCACCGAATAAGGAAATATCGGCACTGGGATTATTGATTTGCAGACAGAACATGGTAAATTTTCAATTTGAACCCATTTTTCCTACTGCTTGACAGAAATAATAAAAACAAAGGAGGACTCTATCAGTTTCAGAGGTATTACTGTATTTCTAAAAGTAGATCAGCTGGCCACATCTGAACGGTTAGGACGAATATTCATCCCAGACCCTTGTATCAATGTGATGACAATTAACAACAGAACTGGGATACGAAATAATACATATAGAAATCTCACGATTCAAAATATAACATTAACTTGAAGCAATGGTTCACTATGCCATTTCATTTTGAAGGATTTCTGACACCTTGTTCATTTGAAGCTAATTATTGCTAATTTCATAAATACTTGCTATGACTATATACACACAAATCTCTGCGAAAAAGTTGTTTTATTAGGTGTTATATTGTCACTTACCCTGCAATATGCACCAATATCTTTTTGAAAGGAAGTTTTCGTGTACAGTTTTCTCAAGCGTTGGCCAGCGATTTTTTTATTTGCTGGGGACATATGGATCAAATCTGGTATGAGTTTTTCAGGATTATCATCGAGTTCAGCTAAAGCAGTGATATCTGGATCTGAAATTTTGTATTTGGTGAAACAATGTAGTCACGATGGAAGCATATTGAGTATTCTCAAGAATAAATAAAACACCCATGAATGAATGAATGAATGAGTGATCATGGAGAATTATCCATTGTGACTATTGCATTCTTCGTGAGAATAAAAATTATAATTCAAAAGAAAGATGGAATATACAGATATTGATGGATACAATTTCAGAAAACCATTCAAAATAGCTATTATTCAGAAGATGAATATCTTAATATCTGCTTGAGAGCTTGGCCCTTTTAGAGACGTCAGAGGGACGAAAATTGAATATTCGAATGTCAGAACACCAATATCAATGAATACCACCATCATCGGAATGTGACAATGCTATATATTTTTGATGGAGAAGCCAATAATTCGCCAGTAATGGCAAATTATTCAATTAAGTTTGATTGTTCATGAGATATTGAGAGTTTTTGAATTTGTTTATTTCCATACTCTTCAACAGGTTAAGTTTCAAACCTTTCTTCAGGAAATGGAGGGGCTTGTATTCAAGTATCCATTTCCAGAAGGAAGGTTTGAAACTTAACCTGTTGAAGAGTATAGAAATGAACAAATTCATAAACTCTCAATATCTCATGAACGATTAAACTGAATTTGATAATCAACCATTATTGAATCTGTTCATTTCCAGGTAGAAATAGTTAATTATATTTACGGTATTTTCGAAAATAAACTGTATTGATTCGTTTTTAATATGGATTTTCATCAAGCATTGGCCAGTTCTTTTCAATTAATGAAAATAAGATATCACATACCCAATCCCGACCACATCCATTCTTCCGAGTTGAATCCCATCAGAATTGGTACTTTTTTGAAATTACCATCCATATACGATTGAAGAGGGGCGTAGGAGAAAGGTCCTTCTTTTTCTATAACTGTACCACTTGCTGCACCACATGCCTTCCGAAAAAAAAATTGATGATTTTCAAATTTTTTTCCGGACTTCAAAAATGGAACTAAATCTTCAAAGAATAAGTTTCGAGTTTAATAGGAAGAGTCATCCAAAAATAAATGGGAGAAATATTTAATTTATATAATATTCAACTGTTATATCATCTTACGTCAAAATATGTATATTTAAAAAAATACTGTCGAACAGTTTAATTTTTTGAGCTGTCTTCTCAATGAAAAGGATGTGATAATTTCCATAACATGACCATAATTCAATAAATAACAAATTTTGGAAGAGAAAAGTTTTGGAATTCTGCTTCTCCATCTTCATAGAAAAAAACATTGGGATTTGTTTTCTTTCCCAAAAATCATTCCCTACCAAAAATAACTTTCAATTTATACAAGATTCCTATGACTGGGATTGAATCAAACATACTGTGAATGTTGACGTGGAAAAATTGAACTCATTCATGACATAATGTCATAATTTCATTAATGATCTTGGAGGCCAACGGGCTGCACCAAAACGTAGGATTAGGTAGTTGAAGAGATGAATATCTAGAGGTTTTGGTTCGAAATGTTTAGAAGTATGTATCTCTTCAGACACGGTTTGTTTCTCTACTGCTTGGGGCTTTGTTCACGAGATGGAGCTGTTACTAGTTAACAATCCCACAGTTGAGCAAAGTTAAAATTATTCGAGTCCCAGGAGGAGGTGGCGAGTTGACTGTCCTTATTCATCTTTCACTGCCAGAACCATATTGGAAGGTTGTCGCGGGTATAAAAGTGGAAATCTTGCACCTTGACTATCCGACAACCTCATTAACGATGGAACAGCAGAGCATATACTTTGTGCCTGCCTGGCTGGGGATCAAACTAGATTTTTAGAGTTTGGCAGTGCCGTATACTTACCAGCTGATCTGAAAGACAACTCACCATACAAACTAATCGGCTTCGTTAAGAAGCTGGGTTTATTTGGCCGAGTGTGAATAGGTGTGAGCCACAATAAACCCTTATGGGTTGCGGTGGAGGGTCAAATAGACCCACTCACTTCGGACATAACCTAACCTAACCTAACCTAACCCAAGAAGAGGTACAAATGAATACAATATCTCACCTGAAGAAAAGATTCTGCAGATGCTCCTTGTAATACTTTTAGCAGGTCACTTGTATCATTAGAAGCAAAATTTTCATCCAAAATACGTCCACAATCGAAAGCAGTTTTTCTAGGATTTTCTTGTA